AGCTCATTCCACAAGGGCTCAGCCTTAGGTGCCTGTTTGGGTAACATACCCATACCTGAGTTGTATAGAGCAGAAGAATGGAACTTGATCCAGACATTTACTATTCTTTCCCTAGTACAGGCCTCCAAACTGGTTGCCAATTTCAGTAGATCTGTCCTGCATTGGCCTTTAGGCTGGACTCCACATACCCACTGCCAAGTAAATAGACAACTACTTGTTAGTCATCAGCAGTGGAATCTGTGTAGACAATCACTTGAAGAAAAAAGAACAGTTACTTATCCTACAGTAACTGATTCTTCGAGATGTGTTGCCCACACGGGTCCCCTGGCTCACCCTCCTTCCCTGCTAATGCGGAGACTTACTCCTATAGGAATTAGTATTGGCAAAGGAACTGTGGCAGTTGGCCCCACTTCATCTTTTATACCTTTGGGACTGAGGGTGCAGATGCAGCCCCAGCGAACATAGAAGAATCTGATCTCAAGTGAATGGGTCTCAAAACAGTGTTTTGCTGTCTCATGTATTTTGTAATGTTGATAGTAGGGTTTACATGTTTGCTATGTACCTATGTAAACACACATATGAATGTACATAACTTCAGCTTTCCTCGTGCAACTCTGAACAGGCCTTGGCTTGCTTTCCTTGTCACTTTCAGGCTAATGTAAGCATCCGTTTTTTTTTCCAGGCTTGCTCACTTACAAAGAGGAATTCATTTACCTTTGCAGAGTATTTAGTAGGATATTCTTTTAAAAAAAAAATCTTCTGGATACAGTGTCTTCTCTTTCTTTGCCAAGTTCTAGACAGGAAAGGATTCATTGAAAGACAATCCTTTAAGTAGGCAATGCTGCTTTGTTTTCATTTTTTAAGTTTAGAACCAACTGGCATTAAAATTTTATAAATCTTGTTGAATATGCTTAGTACTTGTCACCTTCATAAAATCTTTTTTGTAAAAATAGCTCCCATAACAATATCTTGATAGGCTTTGCATGCATGACACTGCAGTGTTGAAACAAAAGTATAACCATAATTGTGTGTGTTTATAGATGCTGTGATCCCAATATGTTGGGAAGACAATGATTTAGATATACAACAAAAAGAGGGAAGTGCTTACTTTGGGTCTTTGTACCCTTGACGTAACTGTAAAAGTACACTGACAAAAATAACAGCTCCCCAGAACAGAAAACTTCAAATAGCCAGTCAGAAATGGCAATCCAATCCAAACCTGTCAAATTGCCCTGAAGTTCATCACTCCCCAGAAATCTGGGTAAAAACCAAGGGTTTTGTGTCATGTTGGAATGCCTGTGGCTACAATTTGACAGTATCAGAACAATGTCAAATCATTATCAATGCAAGCCTGTGAAGATAATGATGACATGACCACACTGGTAAAACAGTTTAGCTGAAAGTTACAATATTACAATGGACAATATTACAAAATGATTTCAGCATAAGTTTATGGAGACGTTCCAGTGTCAAAATGTTAAAGATGAGCTTCGATACCAATGTGAAATGAAAAAATTCTAAATTGAAGTAACTCACGTTCTGTGACCTAATACTAAAGCAAGTTTAACACCTCTGCAATTGAATTGGTAGATAAGGTCGGAATCTTTTCAATAGTGCTGTTAAAGCATTGCATTGTCATGTCACGTACAAAATGTGGCTCTTCACACGTCTTTCTTGTTTTGTATGCCTAGAGTCAGACATTGCAATAAGCATGTTGCTCAGTCTTTAGATTCCCACAAGACCCAGTGTTACGACTTCCTACCATACCATACCTTATTTAGATGTAGAGACTAATTAGAAGTATATTGTTTCCCACTTGTATTACATTACTCTAAACTATTTGTAAAGATTGATCTATGATGAATAGCCCCACTCAGTGACCTGGGATAAAGGGCTATCCTATAATACCTGGACACTGTTATTAAATTACATAAATTCTAACAGCTTTAGGCTTTGTCTACACTAGCACTTTTGTCAGCAAAACTTTTGTTGGTCAGAGGTGTGAAAAACACACACCCCGACCGACATAAGTTTCACTCACAAAAGCGCTGGTGTGGACAGTGCTATGTCAGGGGGGATGATCTCCCACCAACTTACCTACCGCCGCTCATTGGGGGTGGTTTAATTATGCTGGTGGGAGAGCTCTCTCCCACCAGCATAGATCTGCCACACGGGAGACCTTACAGTGGTGCAGCTGCAGCAGTACAGTTGTGCCGCCGTAAGGTCCATAGTGTAGACATACCCTCAGTTGCTTTATTTGTCTATGTCAACCTTAAAACTATTTTAAACAGGTGTGTTATGCTTTTGTAACCTTATTTTGTGCTGTGCAGGCAGCCGATCCTAACCTTCGAACCTTAACAGAGAGGTTGTCAGTGATTACTTGGCACTTGGAGCAGATTAGAATGATAGTAACTATGGAGAGAGAGAGACTTCCTATTGAACTTTTTATTTTTTTTAAGTTTGACTAATGATCCTGTTCAACAAAGCATTCCAGAATAAGGATATCTTTTCAGAATTACCAAAATTTCATAGCTTTCTGACAGACCAGCACATTAAACGATGTATCTACACAGGAGTGATTTGTGTCTTGGTCCTGAAGCTGTTTAAATTAGTAGTCATTTAAATTAATTGTGACAGCTAAAAGAGAAGCTGTACTTTTTCCGAAATTTCTGATTAGGGTATGTTTTAATTGAACGTTAATGAACTCTAAGTTGTGAAATGTAAAAACAAATAATGACCTATTGACACACATTTCGCTTCATTTGGAAAACTGTTTTGGTTTAGATCTTTTCAAATGTTAAAGAATTTGTGTATAGGTGTTAATTTGACTTTCCATTTACCTTGATATGTGAATTACTGGCTCCTGGTTGCTATTGCTTATGTAGTTGTAAAAATACATTGGGCATATCATTCTCAAGGGATAATTTGGTAAAGCATAAGAATTGTAGTTAATTTGTTGGGGCAAGTTAATAGGGGATGAGCTGAGGGAAGTGAAGCTAAAATATAAGTTTATTTAACTTTTCAGAGCATATTTAATTTTTGTTTTGCCTTTTTTTTTTTGTATGAGCGATAAGCCAAACCTGTCTCACAAGCAAGTGATTTTAGAGGCTTTTACATAACTTTTAAAAAATCCTTGTGTGTAATATTTTATTTTTAGAAGTGTAGCAAATTGCTATTTGGTATAAATGAGATTAAGAGTGCGATATATTTTTATTTGTTCTTACACTGTTAACATACTAGAGTCACAGCTTAGTAAATACGCATGATGCACCATTGATGTTAATATAGCTTAATTTTTAAATAGTTTACTTAATTTAATCTTGTACCTTACAGTAGAAGTTGCAGAATTCACTTCCTGTTCAAATAACATCACTGATTCAGGGTGATATAAGATATTTAATTATGTAGTGCTTAAATGTGTGATCAAAGCAATTCTCCTAGACAAGGTAAAAACTGTAGATATGCGAGGAACCCAGCTGTATCAATTTTGCAGTCCTTGTCATGTTAACAATGACTCCTTTCCATACATACGTATTCCTTCCATTACTGTTCCCAAATGTGTATCCCGAAGCTCTTGGGATAAAAGAGCTCTTGATATACCAAGGATTTGATTGCAGACCAAGAAGATGCATCTAGAGTTTTAGAAAGCAGTAAAGCATGCACAATAGCCCCATAGTGTGTTGCAGCACTGCTTCCTGTGAACACTTTAGCTCAATAAAGATATTGCCTCAAGTTCACAAATTAGTAACTAAAGTCTAATGCAAAAAGATGTGGGTGAATTTGTTAGAACTGTTTTGGAAAACAAGCAAGTTTTGGGACCCTCTTGTTTAGCTATAGTCAACACTCCATCAGTGCCCCTTTTTCCTAATAAACTTCAAAGCACCATAACAAATTTGACGTAAATTGTATCTGATAGTGGTGCTCTGTTCTAGTAGCATAGAATGTCAATCATTGAAGTTTTACGCATGATGTTCTAGCTGAGAAGTTTCAAATTTCACAGTTGATGACCAGTAAATATAAATAATGACCATATTAATGAGAGTATGAATCTTCCTATTTTGTATGAAATAGATCATCATAGCACAAAATCTAGGATAATGCATGGGGCATGAGTTGGAAGAAGGGAGGAGAAAAGGGGCTGCAAAGCAACTCATTACACAGTGAATGATTTAATGATTTTGCAGATAAAATGTAAGTCTGCATTTTGAACTTGTGAGTAGGGCTGGAAGCTCTAAACTTCCATTTGATGTTAATCACTTTCCTGGTATATTTTAGTAATAGCTTACTGCTAAGCCACCTACTCCATTTATCCAGTTAATGAACCATGGGTAGTAATTAGGAGCAGGATGCATCATTAAAGGGTTTGTAAACCAAGCTGGATGGAATAGGTAAATGTGTGCTATGTTTTTCATTGGCCCAGTTTCAAAAATTCAACTAAAATTTACCTTAAAATAGCAGTCCCTCACCTGTTTTGTAAAATGGGTGTTTCCTGTTGCTCCAAAATCCATCCATTCATCTTGGAGGCAATATCTATTCAAATACTTCCACTTTCTTCAGATGTAATGTGACCTGATAACTTTATAGAATAATGAATTTCTAAGAGAGCCTATTAAACAATATTACTGGTATTAACTTACTTTATTTAAAGGAGTACAATGCCTTATGAATTTCTCATGAAGTCTAGTTTAAAATAATAATTCCATGTATTCCAGTGAAAAAGTTAAGCCATTTTTTAATCATTTAAAGGCTAGTGGCTAAATCTCTTCAGGTTGAAGTGATTGGAAAAATGTTATAGAACCAAAACAATCATACCCAATTCATAAATATTTTAAGCTAATGCATTTTTCTCTGACTGTTTGGACTTTTGTAGGCTGGTCCATGTAAGCATGCTTTCACTAAGGTTCAGCTTTGGTTAAGGGATTAAGTCTTTTCAAGATTCTAGTTAATACCAAAACTAGAACATTTATTCTCAATGTGAAGTGTGTGCCTCCATATCACAGACTCACAGCATCCACAGGGACACTGAGCATGGAGCCGAGTCTGAGCAACTCATCAATGGCAGCAGCAACAGAGCGAGAAAATTATCAGGCAGCTTCGACAACGAAAAGATTTGACTGCTGGAGCTCTTTAGAGGGAAATCCTGGTAAAACGTCAAGGTGTCTGACTGACCTCAAACTTTATAATCTGTTTTTTCCTTTAATCCTTCTGAAAGGCCTGGTAAAGGTCAGATTTCTAAGTTGAAAAGCAGTTAAATAGCAATATGGTACTTAACTGCTGTTGTGATTTTCCTTTCAGTAGGTCTGTTTGACTGTAATAGGATCTATGATTTACAAATGGCTTGTCTATTAGTCATTGCAAAATTTGGTTTTCTGAAGAAAATGAATGCTTGAGGTGCATGGGGTAAAGTATCTTGTATAAAGGAGAGTGGAGTAAAAATTCAAAATCCCTAAGCAAAATGATTAGATCTACATATCTTATTGGGAACAGAGCTAACTACTACTAAGGTATTTTTCAAGTAAAGGAAAGATTTTTGCTTTTTTCCTATTGTATGTATTCTCTATTGGAAAATGCTCAGGTTTTACTTTTACAAACACTTAGCGTTAAATCTTTGAGATAAGCATGCGCTCTTACATTGATCTCTAATCTTAACTGGGCGCGCTCTGTTTCTCTCTGTAGGCCAGACATTTCAAGTTGAAATGCTAATGCTAAACAGTATTGGTCAGGAGTTGTTAGTCAGTTGCATAGGTTGAAAGTATTGAGTAATCAGGATTTCCTGCAGAATAAGGAACAGAATTTCTTTGACTTGTCAATATTCAGTGGAAACTTACAAATTTCAAAACAAAATGATCTTTTAAACTCAGTCTCTTCACTGTTTTCAATTTACCTGCATGATGCAGCAACACCTAGATACTGCTAATTTGGAAAGACAAAGTCAAGTCTAACTTTAAGATTCTAGGCTTTAAACCAAAATGGACTTAAGCAGAACAGTTAGCAAACTCTGTCTTCCATGAGAGGTAACTGACTAACTGCACTGTGACATTCCAGTGCTAATATGAGTTGAGAGTGGTTCACATGGCACCTCTTCCCTGTTGAGAGTGAAGAGCAAGTCATGCATTCTCATACATATTAATATAAATAAATAAAATATTTTGATGGTGAGAAACCCTTGTGACACTAGCAAGCCTTAGAGACTAGGAATATCCCATGTTGATATGAAATCAAATAAGCATTTGAAAGGCACCATAGTTGGGTTCGATGACAGCATAATCCACTGAAATAAAAATAATACAACAAATTACGGCATTAACAACAACAAAAAATAAAACTTTCCCCTCCCGTTCAGGTCGCGATCGAGATCTCCTCGGAGAAGGGTCCACTCACCTGAAAGGCGAAGAGAGGAAAGGGCTGTCCCAACGGCTTATCGCATTAGTAACAGTCCTGGAATGAGTAGGAAACGCACACGTTCCAGGTATGTGCACCAGTCATGACAAATGCCCCATGTGGGGTTTTAAATATTGTGTGTTGCTTTGTATGTACTGTTTATGTAAAGCTTGTTTTTTCTGTGAGCTGAGGCTTTGTTTCAGCCATGATTTATATAATGATTAACAAGCCAACCTGCGAAAAAACAGTTTGCAAGTAGAAACACTGGTCCCTCCTGTATAGAATGTGTGTACAGGTCTACAGCATAAAGTGATGAGCATGTACATGCTTTGGATGTATCTAGTACAGTGACAGGTTATTTTACAGTTCATGTTTGCTGCTTGATGCACTGTAATTGGAGTATTCTAACCCCTTCGCGGTCTGAAACATCTTTGCTGTGCTTTCCTTCCTGCAAATACTGGAAACCGTTCAGATTTGTACTTGGAATTCCCAGGGTCTGGCTACACTCCTTACCCCTTGGTAAGATTCTCTGGCTGTAGTTGCACAAACAGTGTGCCGAAATGCCATGCCATATTGGCATTTTAGTTGAGTGAAAATTGCATAGTCATGATTGGATCTAAAGCTAACTAATGGGGAGGGGGGACAATACACTTTAGCACACATTACGTTTTAGAATAAAATATATTTTGAATGTACAAGTGGAACTCAGCCTGTAAAATGGTCAGTGTTTTTTTCCTGTAGGAGTTGTGGTTTCTTTCTACCATGTACACTGCAGCCAGGGCCGGCTCTAGGTTTTTTGCTGCCCCAAGGAAAAAAATTTTTGGCTGCCCCCCACCCTCCCCCCAACTGCACCCTCCTGCTGCCCCAGCCCTGGTCACTGGTAACTCGCTCCCAGGGCGGGTCATTCAGCAGGAATTTTGGATGTGCACAGAACACAGACAGGATTGGTTCCCATATGGTTACAGGACTGCAGTAAAGTGGAACAATTTTCAGCGTGTGTGACTGGAGGATATCTGGGTGCATATTAT